GAAGCCTTATTTTGCCTGAGAAAAAACTTTTTCTGATAGTTTATTTTTTGTGCAGGGAGGGGTCGTACTGCCCTTCGAGAGAAGTTTGTGGCGTTGTTAAGAATTTTTCCCCTTTGCTGACTTTTCCGTTTTCCAGCTATGGTGCTTTATACACCCCCCCCCCGCTCAACACAGCTTGATCATATCAGATGAGGGAACCAGGGAGGTGGGCGTAGCAAGTCACGCCCTAGGGGAGGGGTCCACGGACTCGACCAAAACCTCCAACCAATTTTGTGCCCTCTATGGAAAGGATCGTCCTCGGAGGTGAGTGTATGGTTGGTCCCTGGGTGAAATCTGTCACCCTTAGACCATGTGAAATGGGCTTGTACAACAAAGGACAAGCAATGTCTCCAAAAAGTGCAAATCTCTAGCGCTTCGTCATGCTAAAGATGCCGTCATGCTCGGTCGTCATTTTTTTTGTCAAATTCTATTGCAAACGAATTTATTAGTAATCAGTTCGCAGGTAAAAAATTAGAAAGAACAAAATGTAAAAATCAATTGGCGGGAATGATCATCCCATGAAAAACTCACTTGCTCCGATCAGGAGCAATCGGCGCGTATTTCCCCTCGACTATTTGTGTGGCCAATGCGAGCATATTTTGTGAATAGAACGGTGGACGAAGTTCAGTCATTTCGTAGACGCAGCATCCAAAAGACCACACATCCGCCTTCTCGCCATATCCCATGTTTTGCACAATTTCCGGACTAAATCACCAGGTTTCAAAAATGTCAAAACCCGTCCCACGGTACTACTTACCAACTGTAGACAATAGTCCCTGCGGCGGACTTCAGGTATTCACTGCCTCGTTTCTTGGCGAGTCCAAAATCCGCTGAAAAAGCGAATGCAGTGTGAAAGAACGAATAGGCAGGTGAGGGTCCACCTGACCAGGAAATGCTTTAAGCTTCCTGTGAAAATTTTTTGATGACGACTTGGTAGGGTTTCGAATGCCGGTTCCAAATGAAGAAGTTAGAATCACTAACTGCATCCTGCAAGCGAGCGGTGACCAGTTTGCAATGAAGAGTTACTTGTTCACAGGGTAGTTTGACCCTCTCAACACCAATATTATATACGTTCAGTGGGAAAACGCCTGGTGCCTACGTCGCAACAGCCCAGGAGAAAAGTTTCCGTGAGCGCTTGACTGCTTATAACTCGCCAGAGAGAGTCAGGGCACAATATAAAAAAGAAAGAATTCCTGCGTCCTTTCGGCCCAACCAAGACTTAGATTTAGGGAGCATAGACGGTCAGGCGTCGCGGGACTACTCTTTGCGCGAGCAAACACAGTCCTTACCAGGAAGCTCTGGCGTCTGCAAGTCTGTCTAGCCTGAGACTTTGGCTTCCTTATTTGTAAACAGCCCCTGCGTACGTCAAAGGTCAATGCATAGATTTAGTTCACCACGCCAAAGTCGTTGGGATTTTGAAAGAACTCCCGATGAGGGCAAAATAGGTGTAGGGGTGGTAGTGCGAGAGCAGCGATGGTCCAGGGCCTGAGAAGTACAATTACATATCAAACAGATGAGGTGGGCGTGTCGGTATGACTTGCGTTGCATTATTGTCAAACATAGCAGAAGGTGCAGATTTCGCCGACGATACCGCCTCGTCATCCGGGCAGTTGATTAGGGCGGTCGTCAACGGGCCGCAGCGCGTGCCAGGAACTATTTGCTTTTTCCAGGCTAATTTAGTCATTTTTTCCAACTTTTCACTGTTTTGGCTACTTTTTCCAGATTAGCAGCTCCTTATCTTCACAAGGTGGAAAAAATGACTAAATTAGCCTGGAAAAAGCAAATAGTTCCTGGCACGCGCTGCGGCCCGTTGACGACCGCCCTAATCAACTGCCCGGATGACGAGGGTATCTCCATTCAGGACAACTGTCATTCTTTCCTGCCTACAAACTCTGCTGAAGGAGTAAACGTGATCACAACCGTCCCAAAACAGCAAATCAAAGCGCAGTTGTCCCCACGTGGAAGATGAAAAGTGCAGCCAGACCCTTCTCTGTCTCTGGGTGAAGGCAGTGATTTATCAGAAGGTGAAAAATCCGTAGTCGTCACTGTGATATTATTGTGCCTTTCAAAAGTAGAGCATCGTAGCAGTGACAAGCTCAATCTACTCCGAAGTTTCGTGAATATGATCAGATGCGAACTATCGGTGGCTGCTAAAGTTCTTTATATAGAGAGCCATTCATATTTAACTTCCCACTGCGATTTTAAATCGAAAATGAGTTGACATACAAAACATGGGTATTTGGAGAACCAATTTGCCAAAAAAATTTGCAAAAAAAGCGTTTTATCCGATCTCTGCTGACAGAGCGACTCTACACATCTTCCGAGTAGTTCTTCAGAGGAGTTACCAGGAACTTCCGGAAACTTCTTCAGGATTCCTATATTTAAACCTATATTCGTAGGGAACACTGAATGTATAGCGTCATGATAGAAGCCGCAGTTGTCTTGATGACAAGCGCTCGCTTTTCTCGGTTTATTCGTGAAACGAGGTCTCTCTAGGACCTGCAAGCTACCCTTCGAGGCCGTAAAACCCGTCTATTACGTAACTGCACGGGATTTCTTGTAGAATGCAACAAACGCTACACAAAAGGCGTGTATGATTGCACGTAGAAACTGGAACCGTGAAGGGCTCAAAGGGACCTATTATGTCAATCGTTTGAGGGTTGGCACTGTGGTGTCGAAGCTGCCGTATAAAAAGGATCAAAGTTTTCGCCGTTGATCAATCCCTTTGTGGGATGCGGCACGCATTCTACTTCCATTCAGAATCGTAGTGGCTTATTGAATGCGATGTGGTTTATACAATGACCCGCGAAGGCGAACTGGTGTTCTCATCCTCCCAGATGGACCAATTTACCGTTCCCAGAGGTTGGATGGCTCGGTTGGGCAGCATACACGGGACTTTATAAATATAGTAGGAAGAAAAGAAGGCTCAGACGGTAACCATAAGAAGAATCATGGTGGGTAAACGGTATGTCACTTCGGATACGTGGAAGTAGTACGTGAAAAATTGAAACTGAAAATTGAAGAACAGTAGTTAGGGCTACTGACTTACGACTACTCGGTCATTTTCCGCAATCATGATGTTGTTCGGTTTTAGATCTCTGTGAACAATTTGCTTGTCCTTGTGCAAATAGCGCAGTGCTAGTACCAACTTAAACGGGAACAATTAAGAAACAACGATTTCCTGAACGGAAGGGAAATAAATTATCCCAATAGGCATACCTGAATGACAATATTCCAAATGCGATCTTCAGAAAAAATCTGGCGTTTCTCTCTGACCGATGTGATGTGTTCTTTTAATGAAGCACCTTCGATCAAGTCCATCAGGATGTAGAGGCGATGATTCTCAACAAAAATCCGCCGATACCTCACGATATTTGGATGACGGAGCTGGAACGAGGGAGCTCTACTAAAAAAACAAGAATGGATAGTATTCATATTACACAAAAAAAGAGCTCAGGTCGCAGAACGTTCCCTCAGTTCCCTACTTTGAAGGGAACGTTCTGCAATCGCTTGTGAGAGTTCCATTTTTCTTCTAGACAAAGGTAGTCTTGTTCGCTATAAATGAAGGGGAGTGTCAGCGGGTCTGCGTTTGGCACGCTGCCACCTCGTTCTCCACCAATTTTCGGAGTGGTACGCGGCAACACTTGGTGGGATACGACCGATGCGAGCGACATGACACATACTCGTCGATTACCTGAAGAGAAGGGGAAAACGGGCTGGCGCCCCTCTCCCCTGCACCCCTCTTCCTTGACTCACCGCATTATCGCAGCGAGCAAGACTGGAACCTCGCATAAATTAAAGTACGTAAAGTAGTGGCGTTACGGCGCAAAGCAGTTCATGTGGCTACTACTGATCCAAGTGAATTTCTCCGTACCGCATTGGTGTCCGTCACCTTGCTCGTTGTAGGCGTGGCCGCATGTTTCAACTTATCCTTAAGGCGTTTACGCTTCTGATGCGATATTTTCATCTCGACACAATCGTTGTCGTGTCTCTGTCCAACACAGAACAAGATGACAGTTGTCCCAGACTGGAATATTCCACTAGTAACCAGTTCCTTACAGTGTTCGAATGCTCCGCCTACCCGATCTCAGGGATTTCGAGTATAGCTCTCTCTCGCTGCTCTGTGTGGTCTTTGCTCTCGACATTCGCACTTTGTTGAGCCCAGCAAGATCCTCTGCTTTCTCCTTCTATGAACTTTTCAGTGGCTTTTAGCAAAACCCGAAGACACATCCCACAATCAAGCAACATACATAGTTGTTTTTGCAATGCGTTGGTATTAGGCTGACAATCGCAAAGGAATCTACCCACTCCAAATTGCTGGATAACGCCGGTTCTCTGTCACGCTTTTTATCGCCTTCTCCCACCGTCTATAATCTCTGCGTTTACAAGATCGTTCTACCATCTCCTTGTGACATTGGGGTTCACATAACCTCTCGCCACACCACTGTTTGATCCTTTTTTAAGTCTATGATGAAGAAAAAAAAGCACAGAAAACACCTGCCCTAGATAGAACCTTATTTTGGAACCGAATTGGTACCGTGCCAGATTTATACTTTATCTCACACCTCACACGCACAGCTGTTTCACGGCAGTAGGAACTCTACCGATCGCACAAGTGACGATTTTCGCGCTTTTTCGTCCTCTCGTTTTTCACTGAAAGCCGGGCACTGGAGGCGGAGTCACTGGAAAAAAGGAGGACCACTGAACCTATATTGCGCTATAGCGCCCCTCCCATAGAATTTTTTTGCCGCGAAACCGGTACAAGGTTGTTCGTCGCGGACCACTCTAACCTCCTGACGATTTTCAACTTCGATACCTGATCGCGGACCGTGCCTTTAAGGCCAACAGGTGTCTTACTCAGAGTGTCTTTGACGGCTTTTGTGTATTTTCTACTATCGAATAATCATCAGATTCCCCTCGCATTCGCTTTTGAACCCCCTTACTCACAGGGATTATCGCCCTTTCATCTCTCGCAAGCACTGGCAACGAAATGGTGAGCGTTCTGTGAGCTGAGTTTGTCGGAAATGGAGGCGAAATTCTACTTGTTGACATGAGGTCATTCTCCTAGCAGTTTATATATGGGTTCTCCAAAACTGTACGTACCTGTTGTTTGATAATCTTCACCTCGCTGATGACATCACCAAAGCTCTTGTCATCTTCGACGTTCAGCTGGACCACGAAGATCTACAAAAATAGCTTCAAGGAGAGCTTGTACTCCACGGTAGAGTATAGTAGGAGAAAGGTTGGTATATGGGATCTATGGACCCCCCCCCCTCCCCGCCTCTTCGCCTCCGGTCAGTTTAATATGTTTGAGTTGGTGCGAGCGCCCGGGCCTGCAATGTGTATACGACTATAAGCGGGTGCTTGACGTTTTTGTGACATAGTGGATGGGATATTCGTGTTCATGTAAATCATGAAGTAATTAATTGTATTGGCCACATCGCGTTTAAAAAGCAATTATGATTCAGAAGGGGTAGAACGGGTGGCGCGTATCACGTATTATAAAAGTCATAAGAATCATAAGCCAAAATTGAGACGTGAAATGAAAGTGAGAACTATCAGCCAACAGTAGGAAAATGTGTCGTAAGGATAACCTCTACCTGGACATCAAAACGGCCGTTAGCATTTAACAAATCAGGATCGAGTAAACCAACGGGTTCAGTGGGAAGTAGCTCGCTTGGAGTCTTGTTCATTGCGGATGATGGGGTGTGTCAGGAAGGCTCGTTTTGGCGCGGTGCCAGCCCATTTTCCACTAGATGATTTCGCTTACCCGCTTCAATATTTGGCAGAGAATGAGCTGGTGTCGCGCCAAACTCGGTCCCTGACACGCTCTAGTATCCGCAGCGAACAAAACTGCACCACGCTTAGGTCTATGGGTGAGGAGTGAAATACCGGTTTGGCTCTCGCCCAAGCTAACCAAGCTCTCTACCCTTCGAAGACGGTTAATTTGCACCAGATCTCGTCTATGAGGATAAAAACAGTGACCTGTACGCTGGCTGACCGATGCGAGCAATTACTAT